ATAGAAGAAAACTCAATCATTGCGAAGTGCACAAAGGACGCTACGAGTATGGCGTTGCAAGAAAAGAAATGTTTAAGTGAATTTTTTGCTAAGTGAATTTAAATAACCTTTTAAAACTGCTTGATTATTGATACGAGTAGTTAGCACAATTGCAACAAAAAATGCGCAATGCTTTCTTCATTTATGGATCTTACAACATACTTCGAGAACTCAACTTCATCTCGAGGATTATTCAACAACTTTCACTTCGCCTTCGGCGAATAATTGTTAAGTATTCGGTTATGTTTTCCTGAGAGTTCGCCGATACCATTTGCACTCCTGGGTAGAGAGGCATGAAAAGAGTAGTGTCCTGCCCAAGAATACAGCGCAACAACCTCTTCATGGCTCCCACCGGAACCTTGTGCTTCGTAGTTCAGCGCGGTAGCACTTAAACACCGTGTTTTCCACCCACTCATAGCTTTCGAACAGCCCGAGAGAAAATCTTGAGTCCTTGAGTAAAGCACTGAAGCCAGCGAGAGTCTGCAAGAGGTTTACTTGGTACCAGACCCCCGACAAACATCTCACCAACTCGTCTTAAATCGTTCTGCAGCGCTAATATTAATGAGAGCCAGCTCGCAGGCTTACCTACTCATAAAATCTTTTTTTCTTGTTTTACAGAGTCTTGAGATCCCAGGACTCAGCCTTGCGCACCAGGAATATTATCCCTACGTGTTTTATCAGATTAAATTAGATCTTATTGACCGGTAAAGATCGCCAGTCAGAATTGTTTACAAATGATCAACCTTAAAAAATATTCTAATTTTTAACCGAATGAAAGAGAGATGAAATTTGAATGTTTTGGCAAAGGGTCATCAGGGAAGTATCTCTCGATAATTGCTTTCTAATTTGCCTTTAAATATTATGAAAAAAAATTGAGATGTAAATACAAGATAAATGTGAGTAGGATGGTCGCCCTCTCCCATCGGGATTATCTACTACATGTACTAAAATGATTTCCAATATGTACAGCTTTTAGTGGGCTATATACCCCAATTTTCTGTTAAACATGCAAATTATGAGCTTTGTTTCTTTGTTTTCCTTGGAAAATGGGTAAAGAGAAACGAGAAGAAAAAGGAAATCTAAGGGCGCTTTTCGCTTAAGAGACGCTAAACCGAAATCCAGCCAAATCACCGCAGCCAATCGAAACAAAAGAAAATATCGCAGGAAGCTGATAAGAAAAGGTCTTTAACTGGGAACAAGGGAGACCAAGTGGCGAGTCGTTTAGTTTTGTAGCTGAGTAGCTATGATGGCGTCGCTATATTTTTGGACCTTTCACGGAGCGTTAGCAACGAAGATCAACTCGAAGCTCATTACGTCGTCAGTTGTTTCCAACACAGCGGTCAAACGTTTGTGAATGTGCGAACGCCTTTTTGATTGGGTGGCGTCAAAACCAAGTTGATTCAAAAGAGTTGCAAACAACCACACAAGGAAGGACATTTTTGGTAAAGCTCAAAGCAGAATAAATCAACAGTACCTGAATAAGCTTTCAGTTCGTTAAGTCTCGAGTTTTCCTTTCCCCTACTTTTATATTTCATTTGAAAGATTTCTGTAAACGTTTTCATTTTTCTTTCGCTCACTTTACGAGAAAGCTAGTAGGGACTTTAAGCAGTCAGGACGGCAACGCCACAGAAGACGTCGATTAAAAAATCAGTTTCTACTTTTAGTTAGAATTTCGAAAATGGCTGCATGTGTTTACCGTCTCATAGGGCGCCAGACCTCAAACTCAACATAACGCATAAAAGCAGCGTTGAGTTCCAAATGTAAATTAAAATAATTTGCCGCCGCGGTTTCGCTTCGCAGACGACGCATATTTTGGTGATTTCACGTTGTTGTTTTGCGAAGGACGGCTGAGAAGTGTACAAAGTTTTAAAACGCACGTGCTGGGCTATTGTTCTGCCTATTAGATCTGTTGTTTTTCCACGTTTTCGTTGCCGTAGCCGTCGTGGTTTGCTTAAAGTCCCTATTGTTTCTTATCGCCTTTTGAAATTTTGCGCGGTAAAATTGACGTGCAGGCGGCCGAAATTGATCCCTTGGCGCATGATCTACGTTCCCCTACGTTTAACCGCTGTGTTGTTTCCAAATAGCTCTATAATTATAACACTCTTGCCATTTTCTCTATGATTATACCCAGACGTTTGTCAAAGACTGAAACTTGGCGTTAGTTCAACATAAAGAAAAGCTCGAGTCATCATAACACGAGACTTCTTTAAATTGTTTGGTCGTTGTTTAACTCAAACCGATTTTAGTTGATTTGATTCTTTCACCACATGAGCAATACAGTCCGCGAAAACAAACTTAAATCCTCTAATTTATTAATACTGAAATCAATCGCCGTGGAAGGTCGCGTATGTTCAGTTAAGTGACGTGAAAAGCAATTAAAGGAAATCAATGACTGATTTAGTTGCTTGTTTATTCA